CGAAGTACACTGCTGAGGGGAGCAGCGGGCGGGTCAGGAGAGGTCTGCCACGCCATGTGGTCACCACGGGGCAGGCGGAATCGAACTCATGCGGAAGTGGCTTTAGCTTCTTAGTACTGTGCTTTAACCTGCTGCGCCACCAGGCAGGGCCCTGGCTTGCCAATTTTAATGCTCTTTAAAAAAACTGACACTCTGCCTTGTTTCTCTCTTATATGAATGTTTTCTATTCCATTAATCTGTTTCCCTTTCAATGTTGGGCTTATTTACTATTAACTTTCACCTTCTTTTCCAAAGTGTGCATGTCAAGCTGTAATTTCCCTGTAAGTACTTAAGTATTAAGATATCTATGTATAAAGACATCTCTCTCTCTACATATATATATCTGTACACACACACAGACATTACAAAATACACACACATATATCTCTGAAGTTTTGATACATATTTTCACTATTGTTCAGTTCAAAATATCTTCAAACTCTAAATTTTCTTTGACTCATTGAATTAATTATAAGTGTAAGTCTTAATTTCTAAACATTTTCTTGTCACCTTATAGTTACTGACTTCTGACAGAAATAATATTAATAACATATACAATATGATTTCAGGTGTCTGAAACTTACTGAAACCTGTTTTGTGATGTATGGTGAGGTTTGCTAAATGTTCTATATATTTTTGAAATGTATGTGTATTATTCAGTTAATTTCTTAGTAATTAAAGTTGTTACTGAAATCTGTTTCCTCACTGATTATTTTGTCTGCCCTGAGTTTATGAGTTGAGTTAATATACTTTTTTGACTGTGGGTTTTGTTACTGGTTTGAAATGATTCCTGAGAGCAGGCTTGTGACGATTTTATCTTAGTGTTTGACATAGGATTGGCCTTAGAAATGACGTAGTGATTGTTTGTGAGATGAGGTTGGTGGCTGGGAGGATAGATAACTAATTGGAAAAGACTCTTTGGTAGTGATCCACCTGATTCTCTCCCCAAAGTTTTCCCTCTATTTAGAGAAAAACTCCCCACTTCTGATTAAAAAAATCTCCATGCCCAAAACTGCCCAGAATATAGTAGAGCATCTCATCCTGACACCCTTCTTTTCACTCCCATCTCTCTGGAGACAGAAGGAGCTTCAAGAGCAGGGGGAGATCAGAATCATCCAGCTAGGCTTCGACTTGGACGCCCATGGAATTGTCTTCGCCGAGGACTATAGGACCAGAGTGCGTGTGACATGGGTGGAGGGGAAATGGGCAGGGAAATTGGGGAAAGGAAATAAAGAGAAAATCTCCCCCGCCCCACACTTCACAGAGAGGGCACAGGGCTTTGGTAAGTGGTATTATGAGGGAGAGGACGAGGAGAAAAGCAGAAGGGAAAACAGGAAGAGAGCTGTCCTGGGGATAGAGGTTGGTGGAGGGTGAAGGTGGGGCCAGACTGCATCTCTCATTTCTGCTTCCAGGTCCTCAAGGCCAGCGATGGCCGGCCGTATGCTGGGGCAGTACAGAAGTTTCTCACTTCCGTGCTTCCAGCCTGTGGGGACCTAAGTTTCCAGCAGGACCAAATGACACAGACCTTTGGCTTCAGAGACTCAGAGATCACGTGAGACTTGGGGGACAAACAAAATGTGCCGGCATCTGGTATTTCCCTGTCTCCCTCTAGCCACAGCATTGATAGTGCTAAGACTGACTCCTCGTCCACCAGGGAACCACCTCTTCCAGCTTGCTCACTCCCCCACCATCTAGTCTTGACCTTTTCCTTCCTTATTGTTAAGTGACCTAAGTTTATACTCCTCCCTCTAATCTTTCCAAGGATTTTAGTCTTGGAAAAGGCCAAAGGCCCTGGACTAAAATTCAGGCAATCTGGGTCGCTAATTAAATGCATACAGAGGCCTGGCAGCAACCATAATGCTTGATATAAATAAATACAGAGAATAAAGATTAGAGTTGGAATACCCCGGAACATTGAAAAGAATAATAGCTTGCAACGGTTAAATTAAAAATATCACTTCAAGAAGCTTTATCTAACTCAGGCTTCCTACTTGGTAACCCGTGGAAAATGCAAAAACATCTTCAAATCTCCTTTTCAGTAAGATGTGGGAGGACCCATGGTGGGGCAGGCGTAGGCAGTGGCAGGAGCCCAGAAAACATTTTTTATTTCTCCCCTGGGGTGGGACTGAGCATGTGTCCATGCATGTGACAAGGGAAGGCTTCCCAGAGGAGAAGCTGTTTGGTGAGCAAGTAATAGTAAAAGGTAAAGTAAGAGTGGGGGCAGGCTGGCCCGATGCAGCAGGCCGACACACGCTGCTGTGAGCTGTGCCCTGCCAGGGACAGGCTTCTGTTATCAGCAGCTTTGCATGGCTGCCCGTGTTTCTGGGAATTTAGTGTCCAAACGGGAATGGGTGGGGGAGGAGAGAGGGCCCTCTGAGCCAAGGCCTCCTCTCCTGGTTTCCTAACCCCCTTAGGCAGCTGGTGAACGCTGGCGTCCTCACGGTCCGAGATGCTGGGAGCTGGTGGCTAGCGGTGCCTGGAGCTGGGAGGTTCATCAAATATTTTGTTAGAGGTATCCTGTCTGCTGCTCCCTTAGCCCTTCGAGAGCCACCTTTGGTGGCTTCTCAGGCCTCCAGGCCCCAATCACTGTCCCCCTGTCCAGGACGCCAGGCTGTCCTTGGGATGGTCCGGAAGGCCAAATACCGAGAGCTGCTCCTTTCAGAGCTCCTGGGCCGCCGGGCACCTGCCGCGGTGCGACTTGGCCTCGCCTACCACGTGCACGACCTCATTGGGGCCCAGCTGGTGGACTGGTGAGTCGCGCGCAGCCCCTGGCAGATCAGCGCAGTGACCCAAAGCTGCATCTCGCCTCCCTGCCCCATGCCTCATTCCGTAGTGCAGCCTAGCGACTCCTGGGCGCTTCCTTGCCTGGGAGCCCGGCTCCAGCCTTGTCTTTCCCTTGCAGTGTCTCCACCTCTTCTGGAACCCTCCTCCGCCTGTCAGAAACGTGAGGATTGTGCGTGTTGTTGCTCACCTCCCCTGAGCGGGCTATGGAGCGCCCATCAGTGGCCGAGACTGGTCACCTTGGGAAGGACAGGCGCCAGTATGAGGCGCACTTGCATCCGTGCAGAGGGCCAAGCGTGACTGTACTGTTTACCTGGGCTCTGACCCGGGATGGGGTGTGGGCAGTGCTTTTCTGCCCTCCATGGCAATAGAGCCGAAACCGTTTCAAGGCCACAGCTACTGCTTTCATGCAGCAAGGTGCTGCTGCTATTGTGTTGGGATAGGAAAGTGGGGTGTCCGGGGTAGCTGGTAAAGGAGCATGGGGCTCTCTTCTTGAAGTGTTGGGTTCAAACTGCCAAATAAAATACTCCTGCCTATGATGCTTTCTGATTGTCTTTTATTTCATGTCATGTGTATGTTTGGGTGTTTTGCTTGGGGGTAGGCGTAAAATCAAAGTTGGGCCCTAGCTTTTCCTCATTGTTCAGAAAAGGAACGGTGAGGTGAATTCTCCTGGTGGGGTGGTGGGGATGACCCCTATCTGCGAAACTTCTTTTTTAAAAGATTTTATTTATTTATGCATCCAGAACTGGGGTATAGGGCAGAGGCTCAGTGGTGGTGAGAGACAGAGTGGGGAGCAGAACAGGCAGATCCACAAAGTACACTGCTGAGGGGAGCAGCAGGTGAGAAAGGAGAGGTCTGCTGTGCCATGTGGGTCAGCTCCCTGTTGGGGGATCGAACTCGTGCAGAAGCGGCTGTTGATAGCTTTGCAGTGCTGCGCTTTAATCTGTTGTGCCACCAGGGAAGGCCCTAAACTGCTAAACTTCTAGTGCCTACAAAAAGCAAAGCCTATCTGGGGTAGTTCAGTTTTTGTGGGGGCTATAGTAAGAGACGGGGGCCTCTGACCCTCACTTGGTTGCACCTTGACCCAGGAGTTGTGTGTCTCTAGCCACAGGCACTCTGTGGACACAACCAGTCAGGGGAGGTGCCCGTGTGCTAGGAGGAAAGGGGTTAATGGTAGACAAGCTCTATCTCTGGGCCATGGTTTCCTCAGATTCCTTCAGGAATCCAGGTGTCCAGGGTGTCCCCTCCCCCCCAATACTGGGCCTGGGGCCAGTTGCGTTTCTTAATTATCACGTGGTTTCCCGGCTTGGCTGGGGTAGGGGAGGAGCAAGGTCCAGAGTCAGTTTGTTCCAAGCCTGGGGTTGACCAGAAAGGAGCAAACAGACTGAGGGGTCTGATCCCTCTTGGGGCCTGCAGTCATGAGGCTCCTCTGGGGCCTTATCTGGGCGTTCAGCTTCTTTGCCTCATCTCTGCAGGAGCCCAGGTCCTGGAAGCAGGATGCTGGAGTGCTTGAAACGGGGGCAGGGCTGGCAGTGGGAGAGTGGGCATGGTTGGGGTGGTGTGGTGAATGGAGACCCCCACTGATATGCACCTCTTCTCCTCAGGTTGCTCCTGTTTGCTCCTTCTGTGGTTCGCCTGGGGGTCCCCCTGTCAGTGGGGGTACAGCTCCAGGATGCTACCCGGGGGCAGGTGGTGCAAGGGTCAGTGTTCCTGAGGAATCCATCTGAGAATAATGCTCACTGTTCCCCAGAAGTGGCCTTCACCGTCAGTTCAGAAAAAGACTTCGTACTCCTGAGTCTCCAGGTAATTGGACGCCACCCTCCCTGCTGCTGGGCACCTTCCTTCGTTCCCCCGTCTTGTCATTGCCTTTGGGAGTTGAGCTAAGCCTGGTTTGCTGTCCTGGCCTCCTCTTGTCCTTCCTGAACGGTCTTCTTTCCTGGTTCAGCTCCAGTTTCTCATTTTCCTTCTATTTCTCATCTGCTGCTTCTCTCCTGACAGATCCCCCTGAAAGGGGAGAACTGTGGCCTCAGTAACCTCCACAGAGGCCCCAATATCCAGCTGATGGCCCAGTCATCATGGTTGACACAGGCTCTGTCAAGAAAAACAGACACTCAGGGCATCAACCTGCTCTTCTCCTCTCGCTGGGGACACCTCTTTGTGCAGACTGACCAGCCCATCTATAACCCTGGCCAGCGGGGTACGTCTTTGCCAGGACCTTAATTAACCCTAACTCCCTCTCAGCTTAAGTGCTTAAGAGATGTGATGTCCCTTAAGAGACGTGATGTCCCTTAAGTGAGATAACCAAAAGTGCCATCTGGGAAGCTGCTTAGGAAACATTCGTTCTTCACCCTGGTCCTTGGAGGGAGGTGGGAGGGCTGGGCCCACCTTCCTCGTGAACATCTCACCTCTCTCACCTGCCCTCTTAGTTCGGTACCGGGTCTTTGCTCTGGATCAAAAGATGCGCCCAGCCACTGACATCCTCACGGTCACTGTGGAGGTGAGTCCCTGACTTCTGACCTTCTTGACGCTGGCTGCTGACTGATTGCCCACCCGTAATCCCTTCTACTCCCACACAGAACTCTCATGGCCTCCTTGTGCAGAAGAAGGAGGTGTTTACGTCTTCGTCCATCTACCAGGGTGACTTTGTGATCCCGGACATCTCAGAGTAAGCTGGCCCCGTGTAGGAGTGCCTGGATCACTGCCTCCTTCCTGTCTCCCTTTACTCTCTGATACACAGAGTCCAATCCCAGGCCCCCTGAGCCCTGGTTCACCCTGTGGTCATCTGGGGAGCAAGGTGCCCGGTTCCCCTCTGTCACAAGGGCTGAGTCCTTGTCTTGTCCCTCCTCAGGTCAGGGACCTGGAAGATCTCAGCCCGCTTCTCAGATGGCGTGAACTCCAACAGTAGTACCCAATTTGAGGTGAAGAAATATGGTGAGCCCTGGAGCTAGGCGGAACGGCGATTCCTTTTCTGAAGGGAATAAGGGGTGGTGAGGCAGAACTGTGTATATAGGTGGGCGGGGGTAGGAATGTGGGGATGTGCGTGGTAGGAAGAACAAGGTGCCCCAGCCCTGGGGGAGGAGCATTTTTAAAGGATCTTTCATTCGAGTCTGACGTGCCTATCTCTTCACCCGGGGTCAGTTCTGCCCAACTTTGAGGTGAAGATCATCCCTGAAAAGCCCTACATCCTAACAACACCTGATTTTCTTGATGAAATCCAGTTAGACATCCAAGCCAGGTAACGCCCGCCCCATGGGGCCTGCACCAAACCTCCCCATTCAGCATCAATGTACAGTGCAGCCCTGCTTCCCTCGCTCCCAGACCCTTCCGGCATGTTCTGCAGCCCTCAGCCTGCCCCTCCCCACTCTCTCTGTGGCGGCAGGTACATCTATGGGAAGCCGGTGCAGGGAGTGGCCTATGTGCGCTTTGGGCTCTTGGGTGACAATGGTAACAAGACTTTCCTTCGAGGACTGGAGAGTCAAGTCAAGGTGGGAAGGAGGGTTGAGGTGTGAGAGAAGAGCAGGGGGTATGGGAGACTCAGGTCTTACTGTGTCCTGTCTCCTCCTTTGCCCCAGCTGGTAGATGGCCAGTGCCACATTTCCCTCTCAACGCCTGAGGTTCAGGGCGCCCTGAAAAAGCTTGATATCACCCACCTGCCAGGGCAGCGCCTCTATGTCGCGGCAGCTGTCATCGAGTCTCCAGGTGGGTGGCTTCCTCCAATTGTGACCCAGAACTGGCTCCCAGCTTTCTAGCACGCTTCTTACCCCTATCTCAGCTCCAAAGGCAGGACAGCTCCGGGACACAGACTCCAACTGTATTTCTGGGGAGAGGGCACCTTCCTCCTGGCTCATTTTATTTTTTGCTCATGCATGCACCCATCTGTCCATCTCTCCACTCATCCTCCTATCTGCTCCTCCCTCCAGACATGCGTTAGGCATCACCTGTGTGGGTCCTGTGTGACCCCTTCAAAGCTGGTGTCTTGTTCGCTGTCTTGGGGTGGGAGACACTTGAGCTCTTCCTCACCCCATCTCCTTGCTCTCCTGTCCTCTCCTTAGGCACTTTGTCCTCCACCTCTCTCTATCCTATATCTTGCAGGGGGAGAGCTAGAGGAGGCCGAGCTCACATCCTGGCGTTTTGTGTCCTCTCCCTTCTCCGTGGATCTTAGCAACACCCAGCGACACTTCGTGCCAGGGTCCTCCTTTCTGCTGCAGGTTTCTTCCAGAAGGGGGAGGGTGTGTGGGAGGAGGGGGTGTTCGCCAGGAGGGTACAAGGCCTTGCTGACCACTGGCTTTTACCTGCCCCTTTGTCACCGCCTAGGCCCTGGTCCGTGACATGTCGGGCTCCCCAGCTTCTTATGTTCCTGTCAAAGTTTCTACCACGTTGTCTTTCCCTGATTCTGCTTCTATAACCCGAAACCATGAAGAGCACACAGACAGCAGCGGCCAAGTCATCATTCCTATTGTTATCAATCAGAAGGCCTCAGAAGTGCAGTTCTTGGTGGGACTCCCACACACAGGGGGCAGGGCATGAGGGGCCAGCTGCCTCCTGAGGGGCCACGGCCCAGGGCGGGGGGAGGAGCTCAGGGCCTGTGTCCTTGCCGCTGACCCTACCCTGCCTCTGTCCAGGTGTCTGCAGGCTCTCCCAATCCAGCCATAGCCAGTCTCCTTGTGAAAGCCCCCAGCTCGGGAGGCCCTGGATTTCTGTCCATTGAGAGGCTTAATCCTCGACCGCCTCGTGTCGGAGATACTCTTAACCTGAACCTGCAAACCGTGGGTGTCAGTCAGCCCAGCTTCCCCTATTACTACTACATGGTATGCACGGGCCAGGCCGTTGTGGGGAGGAAGGGCGGCAGGGAGGGGCTTCTGCAGCAAAGAGCCCTGAGGAAACCGCTCTTGGCCCAGATCATATCCAGGGGCCAGATCATGAAGGTGAATCGAGAGCCCAGGCGGACCCTGACCTCAGTCTCCATATTTGTGGACCATGACCTGGCACCCTCCTTCTACTTTGTGGCCTACTTCTACCACCGGGGCCTCCCAGTGGCCAATTCCCTGAGAGTGGACGTCCAGACCGTGGACTGTGAGGGCAAGGTAATGGCATTGATGGGGATGGAGGTGTGTGTATGTGTTGGGAGGGTTAAGAGAATAATTGGGAATAGGCCATGGGTTTAGTTTGGGGCACATTAAGGATGCACAGGACTGAAAATTGTCCTTACCCTGCATGCCCCAACCTCCCGCCGCTGCCAGGTGGAATTGAAGGTGGACGAGAACAAGAATTATCTTCCTGGGGACCAAATAAAGCTTAAGCTGCACACGGATTCTCCAGCTCTAGTGGCTCTGGGAGCTGTGGACACGGCTCTGTATGCTGTGGGTAGCACATCCCACAAACCCCTCGACATGGCTAAGGTATGTCAGGGCCCTCTCTCCAGCCCCCCTGCCCCTATGACTCATGATCCACTGCCCGGAGTCCTGAGCCTTGACCCCTGGAGCTCACTCAGGCTCCCCAGCAGCACCCCATGCTCACCCTCCCGCCCCTCCCCCAGCTCTTTTATCAAGCCTTCCCCCGCCTCCACCATGGTCTCCATTTCTCTCTTCTCTGTCTCTTCTCATGCGTGTCCATTCTCTGCCCTCGTTGCCCATCTGAGTGACCCTGCCTGCCCCTCAGCCCTGCCGGTCTCTCTGACATTCTGCCTTTTCTTGCCAGGTCTTCGAAGTTATGAACAGCTATAACCTTGGCTGTGGTCCTGGGGGTGGGGACAATGCCCTTCAGGTGTTCCAGGATGTGGGGCTGGCCTTTTCTGATGGAGAGCGCTTTACCAAAGCCAGAAAAAGTGAGAACAGGGGGAGAGGAGGAGTGGGTGGTGAGACAGAAGGAAGGAGGAGCGGCCAAGGGCAAGATGGGAGGAAGAAGGGCAGGAAGGCTGTGCCAGGTAGGGGAGCAGGGCTGGTTGGTGCGAGGCTGCACACCCTACTTGCCCACCTGCTCTCTACCAGGTCTAAGCTGTCCCAAGGAGAATAAAACCCGGAAAAAAAGAGACGTGAACTTCCAAAAGGAGATGAGTGAGAAGTGTGAGTTGTGGGTGCCCATGAAACTCCGCTTTGGCCAGGGTCAGGATGAACACCTCTCTCTCTCTCGGCTACTCTGCTCCTGAGTGAGCTAGGATATGGTATTAGGGGCCAGAGGTCCATGTTCTGGGGCTGAAGGTGGCTGGGATGGGTGGGAGGCCGTCCTCTGCTGGCCTCTCAGTGAGTCCTGGTCAGGGTGGGATAAGGTGTGTCTCCTTTCTGTTCCCTCATACTAACCCTCACTTGGCCCTGCAGTGGGCCAGTATTCTTCCCCAGTGGCCAGGCGCTGCTGCCAGGATGGGCTGACACGGCTGCCCATGATCCGCACCTGTGAGCAGCGGGTAGCCCGCGTGGGAGATCCGGCCTGCAAGGAGCCCTTCCTGTCCTGCTGCCAGTTTGCTGAGGCCCTGCGCAGGAAGGCCCGGGCCAGGGAGCCCGGGAGCCTTGCCCGAAGTGAGGGGCTGAGTGGGGCTGGGAGACAGGTGGGGGTTTCTGGAAGGGCCAAGTGGGCCCCTCCAAACTCCCCTCCTCCTCACTCCCCCAGTCATGGAGACGCTGCAGAAGGAGGACCTGATTGAGGAAGATGAAATTCCTGTGCGCAGCTATTTCCCGGAGAACTGGCTCTGGAAAGTGGAAAGAGTGGACGGCTTCCTCCAGTGAGGGCCTGGGGTGGGGCTGGCCCTGCCTTTGGCCTATGGTGTCTGGGCAGCCCAGGATGTGACGGGCTTCTCACCTTTGTGCCCACAGATTGCTACAGACAGTCCCTGACTCTATCACCACATGGGAGATCCATGGTGTGAGTCTGTCCAAAACCAAAGGTGAGGGCACCCAGACTGGGCCTGAAGCTTCACATCCTCCACCCTCACCCCCTCCCCCCGACTCAGACATCTTGCTTAGCCCTTTGCTCTTAGTATAGGAAGGGGACCATTAGAGTGGGGAAGTCTGCACCAACATGCACCCATATGTGTGGGCTGGTGGGCCAGGCAGCAGGGATGGGGGTGGGCAGAGCTGGATCACTCCCTGGACTTCCCTCTGGGGACCCTGGGGCCTCGATGCCCTAGGCCTCTGACCTCTGCCCTCCCCGGCCCCATCCATCAGGCCTATGTGTGGCCAAACCCATCAAGATCCAAGTGTTCCGAGAGTTCCACATGCATCTCCGCCTGCCTGTTTCCATCCGCCGCTTTGAGCAGCTTGAGCTTCGGCCTGTCCTCTACAACTACATGGAGAATAATCTGACCGTGAGGCCCTTGGGAGCTTGAGACCATGGGGAAGCTGTGTCAGAAGCTGGGGTGGGGCGCCTCTCTGGGCTGGGGCTCTGGCCAGCGCCCTCTTCCTATCCCCAGGTGAGCGTCCACGTGTCACCAGTGGAGGGACTGTGTCTGGCTGGGGGTGGAGGGCTGGCCCAGCAGGTGATGGTGCCTGCAGGCTCTGCCCGGCCCGTTGGCTTCTCGGTGGTGCCTATGGCGGCTGCTGCTATACCCCTGAAGGTGGTGGCTCGAGGGCTAAGGGACACCCCTGTGGGGGATGCAGTATCTAAGATTCTACAGATTGAGGTGAGTGGGACATCCCTGAGTCCAGGCCCCCAGACTCCCAGATTTACTCCCCCGCCCCACCCCTGGCTCCCTCCCTCCTGGCCAAACCAGAGGCCCAGCAGCAAGGCCCGGTGCCTCAGTCTGGTGCCTCTCCCACAATTCTGGCCCAACTCTGAAGTTCAGCTCCGGTCCTGGGAATCTGCGCAGGCAGCGTAAGCTGCGGTTTTGCGTGACTCACAACCGTGTCTCCCCCGAGGCAGAAAGAAGGGGCCATCCACCTGGAGGAGATTGTCTATGAACTCAACCCCCTCGGTGAGTGACATGCCGCCATCAGCATCCTGAGGGGTCGCAGGTGGTGGGGGGTGTGGGACAGATTGCCAACCTGCCCTATCTCCCCAGACCACAGAGCCCGGACCTTGGAAATTCCTGGCAACTCCGACCCCAATATTATCCCCGATGGAGATTTCAGTAGCTTTGTCAGGGTCACAGGTGGGAGTGTCCTCTTTCCCTTCCCAGGCCACACTGAGATTCGTGTGAAACCCTTGACCCCTGTTTGACCCCACGACCCTCTAACCTAGGCTCCCCAGACCTGCTCGCCAATCCATAATCCTCTCCCCCTCTTATAGTGGAAGATCCACTGGCCACTTTGGGCTCTGAGGGGGCCTTGTCACCGGGAGGCCTGGCCTCCCTCCTGAGGCTCCCCCAGGGCTGCGGGGAACAAACCATGATGCTCTTGGCTCCAACACTGACTGCTTCCCGCTACTTGGACAAGACAGAGCAATGGAGCTCGCTGCCCCCCGAGACCAAGGACCATGCTGTGGATCTGATTCAGAAAGGTTCTCGGTCAGGGGCAGTAGGCGTGGGGGCTGGCAGAGCGCAGTTAATGGAAAATGGGTGGGGAGGGTGGCTGGGGGGAGGGGAGTGGGCCTGAGGGAATGGGGAGCTCCGGCACAGAGTGGAAGTGTTGCCTCAGCAGCTGCCTCCTCTCCAAGGCTACACACGGATCCAGCAGTTTCGGAAAAATGATGGTTCCTATGGCGCTTGGCTGCACCGGACTAGCAGTACCTGGTGAGGCCATGGCGAGTGGTTCTGGTTTCTGAGAGGCTCTGGGGCTGCTGGGGGCAGAACGGGGACATAGGGAGAGTCTGGGGAGGTGGGGTATGTGCTCTGAAGGGACCAGTCCCTCTCCCCATCACCCCTTCCTCCCCTCTAGGCTCACAGCCTTTGTGCTGAAGATTCTGAGTTTGGCCCAGGAGCAGGTGGGCGGCTCCTCTGAGAAGCTGCAGGAGACGGCTGAGTGGCTTCTGTCCCAGCAACAGGGGGATGGCTCGTTTGAGGACCTTCAACCAGTTATTCACAGGGACATGCAGGTGCGGAAGTCGTGGCTGGAGAGCGCACGTGGGAACTCTCCCGGCCCCTCCCGGCTCCTGGTGGCAGCTTCTTTTCCTCCCCCTTCACCTAGGGGGGCCTGGTGGGCAATGACGAGACCGTGGCACTCACAGCCTTCGTGGTGATCGCCCTCCAGCACGGACTGGCTGCCTTCCAGGGCAAGAGTGCAGAGTCGTTGAAGCAGAGAATGGTAGGGATACCCACATAGTCGCCCTCCTGTGACCTCTAGCTCTCCGCCCCCGACTTTCTCCTCAGAATCCAGGCATCCAGCCTCCAACTCTGCCCTCCCCCCTTCTTTCTAGGAAGCTTCCATTTTAAAAGCAAGCTCATTCTTGGGGGAAAAGGCAAGTGAGGGGCTCCTGGGAGCCCACGCAGCCGCCATCACCGCCTATGCCCTGACGCTGACCAAGGCCCCCCAGGACCTGCAGGATGTTGCCCACAACAACCTCATGGCCATGGCTGAGGAGACTGACAGTGAGTATCAAGGGGACCTGGCAGTGAGCCAAGGTTGGGGACACTGGGACTCCTAAGTGTACCTGAAGGGGGATGCTGACTGAAGACCCTGAGGAATGAAAGCCTAACTGGGGATGACTGGGGTAGAATCAGGAAAGACTGATGGGCTCAGAGGGCCCAGTGATAGGATGCGCCCCTCAGCCCCGATCACCTGTGGGTGTCCCTTCACTTCCAGATAGCCTGTTCTGGGGCTCCATCACCGGTTCACAGAACAACATCGTGCGACCCACCCAGGCTCCTCGAAACCCAGCAGACCCCGTGCCGCAGGCCCCGGCCCTGTGGATTGAGACCACAGCCTATGGCCTGCTGCACCTGCTGCTTCGGGAGGGCAAGGCAGAGATGGCTGACCAGGCCGCGACCTGGCTCAACCAGCAGGGCAGCTACAAGGGGGGGTTCCGCAGCACCCAGGTAGGGTGGCCCTGGGCTCCGGGGGTGGGTGGTCCTGAGACCAAGGGCCTGAGCCCTGGCCAACCCCTCAGGACACCGTGATCGCGCTGGAAGCTCTGTCGGAGTACTGGATCGCTTCCCACACCACCGAGGAGAAGGGGCTCAATGTGACTCTCAGCTCCTTGGGCCGCAATGGGCTCATGTCCTATGAGCTGAAGCTGTCTAACCTGAAAGTTAAGGGGCTGGAAAAGGAGCTGCAGGTAAACCACCCCCTCGCCTGGTCGACCCCCTCCCTCAGACTCCCCGCAACACCTCTTCCTGATACCCTTCGGGAAGGCTTCCTCACTGGTGACCTGGAGAAAGTCACCTACCCTCTGAGCTGCACTTTTCTCATGTGACAGTAGTATGTGCAGTCTACCTTCTAGGAGGCCCACGTGAGCTAATGCATGGGGAGGGGTGAACTCTGGAGTTGTTTTTAGGGAGGAGCTAAGTTGCAGCATTCTTTCTCACCTCTTTTTCCTTTCCATTCCTCAAAGTTCTCCTTGGACAGCAAGATTAACGTGAAGGTGGGAGGAAACAGCAAAGGAACCTTGAAGGTGAGAGCTGGCAGCAATGGGCACCTGGGCTCAGGACTAGGCAGGGCTGGGGTCTTGGGTGGGAGACCTGCGGGCAAGCTCGTGGTCTGGGAAGAAGGAATGCATGTAAGGCTGGGGGTCCCTCTGTGCCGTCTTGGGTGTTGCCGTCCAGAGGCTCTGGCCTCTGCCCCTCAGAGCTGAAGGCCTGCACACCCAGCTTCTCAGTGCAGGCTTCTGCCCTGAGCCACAGGCCCCAGGTGATATCCAGATGCTTCCCAGCACCTCAGACGTGGCATGTCCCAAACCCGACTCCTTCTCTCGTGTCCCTTCATCTGACACTAGATCCCCATCGCTGCAGGAGCCCCACTGCTGCTCGAGGCTGTCTCCGTGCCCCTACCCTTGGGCCTTTCCTTGGGGCTTCGGGTTCTCCTTCACTGCCCTTGTCACTTGCTTCCGGGACCCTGTGCTCGCACGAGTCACATTAGCCTGGAGAATAGTCAGGCTGCCCCGCCCCACAGTTGGCCCTGCCCACCTCCCCAGCCAGGCGGGCCGCCTCACCTACTCAGCAATCCTTGGCTCAATTCTCCTCCCCTGTTGCCGGCCCCACACGGTGAACTCATTCTCTGTCAAGCCTTAGCTGGAGTTTCAGTTCAGCCTCCTCTGCACAGTATAGAGTGCTCGCGCCCCCCAGGGCCGGCCCCTGCCCCAGCGTCTGTCTCCTCAACTAACCAACACCCGGGTCCATTCAGGTTTCTGGACTGGTCAAGGTGGAGCATGAGTTGGGGATGAAGTCTGGTCCCTTAGTGTGGGGAGATCCTGCTACATGGCCTAGGAGAGAATTCTGTGCCCCAAATGCCCTGTGCCCCCTCCCTGCCCTATGCTGGACCAGGTGCTTCGTGCCTACAATGTCCTGAACATGGAGAACACGACCTGCAACGACCTTCAAATTGAAGTGACTGTCATGGGCCACGTGGAGTACACCAGTGAGTGCTGGGGTCAGAGGCCGTGGAACCTGATGGGGCTGGTGCCAGGGCCCAAGCCTCAATGCTATCCCCACACAGTGGAAGCAAACGAGGACTTGGACTACGAGTATGAGCAGCCAGAAGCCAGTGACGACCCAGGGGCCTATTCCCAGCCCGTGACACCCTTGCAGCTGTTTGAGGGACGGAGGAACCGCCGCAGGAGGGAGGCACCCAAGGTGGCCGAGATGCAGGAGGCCAGAGTGCAGTACACCGTATGCATCTGGTGGGTGCCTGGGGCTGCATGTGGGCCGCTGCTAGGCCCCGGGCCCGAGGGAGCAGGGAGGTGGGCAGGGACCAGCTGGGGTGGGAGCGTGCTGCTGCCTGGTGCTGGCAACAGGGCCTGGCTCTCTGCAGGCGGAACGGCAAGCTGGGGCTGTCGGGCATGGCCATTGCGGACATCACCCTCCTGAGCGGATTCCACGCGCTGCAGGCTGACCTGGAGAAGGTGCGCTCAGCTGCCCTTGTCCATAGCACCTGCCCCACCCCACAGTGCCCCAGTTGCCGGGTCCTGTTGGCACAGGACTCGCAGCCACCTTGCCATGACCATCTCCCTTTCCTGACAGCTGACCTCGCTCTCTGACCGCTATGTCAGTCACTTTGAGATCGAGGGGCCCCACATCCTGCTGTACTTTGACTCGGTGAGTGGGGAGGGGATGGCCGAAGGGCACTGGGGCCAGCTCCCGGTGAGCTGCCCCAGGACACAGCTGTGCTGGTGGCCACAGCTCGTAGCACTTGGGGTGTGGGCAGAGAGACGGGCCAGGAGAGTGCCAGAGCAGAGCCAGGGCGGGGCCTGTGGGGAGGTGGCTGAGCCCCTGAAGTAGCCTGGGGCCAGTGCCTGCCAACAGGGAAGGGCTTGAGGGCAAGCCTTGTCCAGCAGGATTCATTCAGGTAGAGGGCCCACCTGCTTGGCTGACCTGCCTAGATTTATTTTTTCATTTTGTTTGTTTTAGATACTAAGTATATTTTCTTCTATATGGAGAGGGTGGTCATAGATGAGGTTTCCTTTGCATATGCTGACTTGGCTGAAACAGAGCTAACAACCCTCTGGTGGTTCTCAAACATGTTTTTCAATGCTTACACATAACTTAGAGAAAATGCAAAAAGGGGTGTTAATGCTGACTGTTAACGCTGTTAGCCAGTGTTAGTGGGTCAGGGGAGACCCCGCGGTGTGTGCAGAAGCCACGTAAAGGGGTCTGCAGGGGTCTGCGTAAACATGACACAAAGAGGAGTCAGGAGGATTTCTGGGCTCGCTGCTGGCCATGCAGGAGCTGGCCTGGACCAGTGTGGGGTGAAGAAGGGCCTGGGCCCGAGAGTGAGTGGCGGGGTCGCGGGGGCCGGTGGAATGATAGCTCTGCCGCTTGCTTCTGGCCGATAGGGCCCTGGTGGTGTTAGTTGCCAAGCTGTTGGGAGGGCTGAGAGAGTTTGGGGATGAGAGAGCGAACTTAGAGAATTTATACACCCTGCAAAAATCCTAATACAAGAATGTGGCTGACACTGAGCTTGGGAGTCATGAGCTAGGAGATGTAGGGGAATCCTGTGGAGTAGAAACCTCCCCCGGGGAGCACAAAGGAAGGGAAGCAGAGCTTGTGGGAGAACATAGCTTGTACCAGAGTCTGGACTGAGGTCACTGTCTAGGCAGTGAAGTCAGCAGAGACCTTGGGGAGCAGTTTTTAGCATTCTAATGGCCAGAAACTGAAAGGACATGAAGGACACTGAAGAACAAAGGGAACCAGGCCCAAGGAAATTCAGCACAGTGGTCTGCCGTCCTTGACTGCTTGTCCCCGCAGGTCCCCACCTCCCGGGAGTGTGTGGGCTTTGGCGCTGTGCAGGAGGTGGCCGTGGGGCTGGTGCAGCCGGCCAGCGCCACCCTTTATGACTACTACAACCCCGGTGAGCGCTTCGGGGCACTGGGGAGGTCTGGCTCGATTTTGTGGGACACTCAAATGGTGGCTCCTCGGGACTGGGAGGCCTGTGCCCTCACCCCACCCCTCTGTTCTCCAGAGCACAAGTGTTCTGTGTTTTACGGGGCACCAACTAGGAGCAAACTTTTGTCCACGCTGTGCTCTGCTGACGTCTGCCAGTGTGCCGAGGGTGAGCCCCGTGGCTGGGGGCCAGGGCTGGATAAGGGCATGAATAGGCCTGTGCTGGCTCACCTGGGCTCTGACTTCAGGAAAGTGCCCGCGACAGCACCGTGCCCTGGAGCGGGGGCTGGAGGAGGAAGACGGGTACAGGATGAAGTTTGCCTGCTACTCTCCCCGGGTGGATTATGGTCAGTTTCCTCCCTGCCTGCCCAGCCACCCTCAGGCTGTGCCTGCCCCTTTCGAGGAGGCGGCCTCTGTGACACCCATTTGCAGGCCTCTCAGGCTGGGGTAACTAACCTTCCTCCCTTCTAAAATCCCGCCTAGGCTTCCAGGTGAAGGTTCTCCGAGAAGATGGCAAAGCTGCTTTCCGCCTCTTTGAGACCAGGATCACCCAAGTCCTGCACTTCAGTATGAGGGGAAGGGCTGGGGGTACCGCCCTGAGGTCTGGCTTTGGGGCCTGGCTGCCTGGAATAGTGGACATTCAGAGGAGGCCTCTTAGAAGCTCTGGGCTTTCCATAAACAGGAAAGTGGCTGCTCCTCCGTGTTGGGAGCAGTGAGTGTAAAATGAGGGGACGCACCAAAACCCCTGGCCCAGGCTCCCCTTCTCTTGGCCTCTGGTCACTCTTGTGCCCATTCTCCCCTCAGCCAACGATGTCAAGGCCACTGTTGGTCAGACCCGCAACTTCCTAGTTCGAGCATCATGCCGCCTTCGCTTGGAAGCTGGGAAAGAATATTTGATCATGGGTCAGGATGGAGTCACCCATGATCTCAAGGGAGAGTGAGTTCTTTGGGCCCCCCCGGCCACATGTTCTCAGGCCTTCCCTCTCCCGCCTGCACCCCTCCCCCCCCACCTTCCCCCTCCCCCCATGACCACTCTTTTGCCCCTACAGTCCCCAATACCTGCTGGAATCGAACAGCTGGATCGAGGAGATACCCTCTGAGCGCCTGTGCCGGGTCACCCGCCACCGGACAGCCTGCGCCCAACTCAAAGCATTCCTCCAGGAGTATGGCCTACAGGGCTGCCAGGTGTGAGGGCCGCCCTCCCACCCCGGGAGCCTGAGCTGGAAAAGGTGGCCCTGGACTGTTGCCACCCACCAGGCCCCCACCCAGGACCAACCTCTCAATAAAGACCTTTGAGCAAAGTGTCAGTGTATGTCTCCAGGGCTGAGGGCAGCGTGCCCAGTGCCCCTTACAGCTTCTGGGGGGCCCAAAGCCAGGGTTTGCAGTCTTTTTTTTTTTTTTTGACAAAGATTTATTTATTTATGCACACAGAACTGGGGTATAGGCCAGAGGTTCAGGGGTGGTGAGAAGATTCACCAGAGACAGAGTGGGGAGCAGAACAGACGATCAATGAAATACACTGCTGAGGGGAGCAGTGGGCAAGACAGGAGAGGTCAGCTGCGTCACGTGGGTCACCTTGGGGCTGGGATCGAACTTGCACTGCAGTGGCGGTAGCCAGCTTGCAGGGCTGTGCTTTAACCCGCTGCACCACCAGGGAGGGCCAGGGTTCACAATCTTAGGTTCTCAGAGCCTGGGTGGCCCTTGGGGTACCCAGCATCGCCTGAACCCTCCTGGGTGGTTCCCAGGACGGCACACCCAATAGCCTGCACCATGAGGACCTGCTGTGCCTGCAGGGCACCCTGCCCAGTGTGTAGCCATCACGGCGGCCTCAGGCAGGGGCTGGCCTCAGCCCACACCTCGCGTTTCTGCCTTAGGAGGCTGCCAGCCACTGTTCCCCTTCTGCCCTGGTGCAGCTGGCAGTTCTGGGGGCTGTTGTGCTTAGCTGCAGCCTGGGATGTTGAATGCCTGTGGACCTTTGCTCTTGTTATCAGGGCGCTAAGGATAACTCGCTCAGGGTCATGCCGTCCACGGCTCGGGTGTCTTCATCTGGGTACTGATTTTCAACAAGCTAAAGGCTGGCTCTGGTGTGCTTGTCACTGCTGAGGGGCTACTGTTGTCCTGGAGGCAACCCTCCCCACCTGCCACCAGCTCTCCCCATTCAGGGGTGCTGTAGCCAGAGCCACTCTCACCGACAAACTTTTGTTGGCAAACTTAAACAGAATCAGTTATTAGTCGCCTTTATTCTCCCTACTCCCTCCCTACTCCTCTCTTGTGATTTATTCTCTAGCTGTATTCCAGCAACCTTGAGAAGCCAGCGCATATCACTAACATAATTCTTGACTCTCCGAGGCCAGCCACACAAGGGCACATGTCTCTGGTTGTTAAGGACTGTTAACCCTGAGGGTACATGCCCGCCTACCCTGCCCCCCCGCACCCTCCCCACTCCATCTCCCACTGTACCCCACTCCTCAAGTCTACCCGTTACAGAATCACAGCACCCACAATAGGGGAGCTGCTTTTTTAAGGGGATTAGCCACATGATCCCCTTGGTAAGCATTATATAAAATTGTCTTTGTGAAAAGACATTCAGAGTTTAGCTTTTGGCGGGGGGCAGGCGAGATCCTATTTGGTTGCGTTCAGCACCCCTTGGGTCTTCAGTACTGATCTAGAAATCCATCTAGATAAATTTGCTGAGCTCAGTTTTGGTGGGAACTGAGATGTTCAGCAGCCAGTCACTCGACGACAGACTAAAAGCTGTAGAGTTCTCATTCTGCATCCTATCTGTGCCAGTCTGCGTCCTCGGTGAAAGGTGTGATACGGGGCAGCAGAGTGGGTCTGAGGGCATCTGACCCACATAGTTGGAGCATCTGGCCCACTCTGGACAATTATGAAGAGTGGGCAAGGGAGGCTTCCAAGTTGGATTGTGAAGGCTGAGAGAATGGGGTAGGTGAGGGGTTTTGAGGCAGAAGGAGACAACACCCAGAGGCAGCATAGGGGAACCAGCACATAGTTAATCATGTTTATAATTTGGATTTGCAGGTTGGGTGGAAAGACAGGGTTGACAAAGTAAGTGGAGTCTGGCATTCACAGCACGCCACTTTCCAGGTCACTATCCTTTCAGACGAGTCCCTTTAAAAAAAAAACAAACATTTTTTGGGGCCCTCCCTGGTGGTACAGCGGGTTAAAGCAGAGCACTGAGAAGCTAAAGCCACTTCCGCATGAGTTCGATCCCCACCTTCCCTGGAGGTAACCACATGGCGCGGCAGACCTCTCCTGACCCGCCCGCTGCTCCCCTCAGCAGTGTACTTTGACAGTCGGCCTGTTCTGCTCCCCACTCTGTCTCTGAATCTTCTCACTGCCCCTGCATCTCTAGCCTGCATCCCAGCTCTGTATACATAAATAAATCTTTAAAAAAAATTTTTTTTTAAAAAAGATTTATTTATTTACCAAAGACAGAGTGGGGAGCAGCACAGGCCGGCTGAGAAGTACACTGCTGAGGGGAGCAGTGGGCAGGTCAGGAGAGCTCTGCCATGCCATGTGGTCACCTCTGGGGCAGGGATTGAACTTGTGCTGAAGTGGCTTTAGCTTCTCAGTGCTGTGCTTTAACCTGCTGTGCCACCAGGGAGGGCCCCAGGTGAGTCCCTTTTTACACATCTCTGAGAGGTTCTGTCCTAGCCCAGTATTTCACTCTTCTTGTTGTTTATGTGTCCCTGTGCCTGCTGGTCAGATCTGTCTCCCCAAAGCTGGTGGGCATGGTGGTGGCAGAAACTCATTCATAAGAACCAGGGATTCAGCTGTACTTGTAGCAAGACATGGCCTAGGTCTAGAAAGCCAACTCTGAGGAAGGTCAGCGGTTCTTGCTCAACCTCAGAATTTCCACCCGTTTTCTCCATCGTGGGCACGAATCCCAGCAGAGCCTGAACCCCATCCACCAGAGCCTCAGGGGTTAACTCTTCAAGCTCCTGGGTGATGCAGCCAGGGTCTCCATTCATTTGACTCTTTAGCTGCACAGCCTGTATTCTAGACGAAGCTCTGAGGAGAGAAAGGCTCCTCACAGTAGCTTCCTGAGGCTGCTGACACATCAGAGAACAGGGAATTGGGAAGGGCCTGGGCCCAGCTCACCAACAGGTTCTCAGTCCCAGCCTCAATCAGTCCTGGCCTCTCCCTGGGCCTGGCCACACTCTGAAGTGTCACTTCTCCCCAAGTCCCTCCTCTAAGGCCCTCGGCTGCTTCCTCACCCACAAAAGGGGTTCCTGAAAGCCCTACTTAGTCCAGAAGTCACCCCTTATGGCTATGGCTCCAAAGTAGGGCTGGACCCTTGGTCCTGGGGATTGTTGAGCTCCTTCCTGGGGACTTTGGAATCCATGGATGTTCCATCCCCCGGGACTGACCTATAATGTGCACTCTGACGTCCAAGGAGGTCTTGTTCTGCCTGCACCTGGGGGCACGAGCAGCTTGGCCGGCAGAGAGAGGAGGGGATAGCCAACATGGAAGGAGGACTGAGGAGCGAGAGAATGTCTCTGGCCCCAGCCTTCCAGGGCAGTGAGGCCTCTCTCTTGCTTCCCGGCTCTCGGTTCCCTGCTTTCGGTTCTGCTCCCCATCTTTGTATACAATTTGTATATTTGGCTCCAGGTAGCTCAAGGTCTCTTCCTTGCAACTAAAGCATATCAGGTATATTATAATATGTATCTCTAGGTAGAAGGTGGATAACCCAGGTGAGCTAGCTATAGTACCACTCTCTGTGAGTTAAGAAAAACCCACAGATCATTCTCATCTTGTTTAGGCAATTCTGGAGGCAGGTTAGGCAGGGAGGCCCCCTTCTCTCTGAAACAACTCTGAGGCACTAAGCAGGTCCAAGGCGGGGTAGGGGAGAGGGCCCAGGCCAGAGCACACACATTTTCTTGCGTAGTTGACATGGAGCCAGCAGGCTGATGGTCCTGGCTACGGGAGAAAGGTCACCACTGCAGCTCTTACGCTTCAAAGAGGAAGGTTGTCTTTTCTGTAAGAGACATCCAAGGCCATCAGCCTGGTGCCTTTCCAGGAGTGTGCTATTCTGTGGGCGGGTCTGTGGGCAAAGACTTGAGGGACAGGGTCAGGGGAAGTCTAAGAATAGCCCGAGGAGCAAGGTAGTGGCGAGCCCCTGAATCTATAAGTAGCAGGCCCGGGGCCTCATGCATGGGTCTCCCGCCATGCTGCCGCTCGGGCTGCTGCTTCTGCTGGTCCTGCTGACCGGTGCCCGCCTGCTGTGGGGCCAGTGGGGGCTCAGGAGCCCCCGCCTCCCCCCTCTCGCCCCTGGCTTCCTGCACCTGCGGCAGCCTGGCCTCCCCATCTATCTGCTTACCCTGACTCAGAAGCTCGGGCCTATTTACCGACTGCGGCTCGGGCTCCAAGGTGAGAGCATCCGCCCCTGCCTGGCCCCTCCAAGGTGGGCATGCAGGTCCTCTCCCTATGATGTCCTACGTTGCCTTCCCCAGATGTGGTGGTGCTGAACTCTAGGAGGTCCATCGAGGAGGCCATGGTCAAGAAGCGGGAGGACTTTGCCGGCAGACCCCAGAACCCATCTTGTAAGGGGTGGGGTTTTTCTGTGGGTGGGGGACGAAGCAGGGGGCCAGGGGTTGGCAGGAAGGTTAGGCGCTGGGCTTCCTTGGTCTGCTCAACCCCTCCTCTGCCCCCCACCCCATGGCAGACAGGATGATGCCACACATCTCTGAGGACCTAGCGCTTGGGGACTACTCCCCGCTCTGGAAGGCCCACAAGAAGCTCACCCGCTCGGCCCTGCTGCTGTCTATGCGCAACTCTGCGGAAGTCCTGGTGGAGCAGCTGGCGCAGGAGTTCTGTGAGGTGAGGCTGGACCCTGGGCCACCTGGGTCAGCCTCACCTCTCCCGTCAGCCTATTTGGCTCGTGCTCTGTCCCCACAGCGCATGCGAGCCCAGGCGGGCGCCCCTGTGGACATCCAGGAGGGGTTCTCTCTCCTGACCTGCAGCATCATCTGTTACCTCACCTTTGGAGTCAAGGTCAAGGCTCTCTTGCCCTCCCTATGCTTGGGCACAGTTTTAGCTCCTTCCTGGCCCCGATCCAGAACTGAAATGATTCCCTCCTTTTCGCAGGAGGATAGCTTATCACATGCCTTTCACAGCAGTGTTCAGGACTTGATGAAAACCTGGGACCACTGGTCCATCCAAATTGTGGACATCTTTCCTTTTCTCAGGGTGAGGCGGGAGAGCCCAGCAGTGCCTAGCACCTGGGAGGTGAGGTTGGGGGGAGCGGACTACCTTCCCAGCGGCTCCAACTCTGCTGCTCTGCCCAGTTCTTCCCCATCCCGGGCTTCCGGAGGCTGAAGCAGGCCATGGAGAACAGGGAGCGGCTTGTAGAAAGGCAGCTGAGGAAGCACAAGGTGGGGACCGGACTGCCCTCAGCCCACAGCCGGGGGTGCTTCTGCCCCAGAGCTGGGCAGATTCCTGGGCCTGCTCCACCCAGCCCTCCCCGCAAGCTGGACACTCAGCCGTCTCCTCTCCCCTCCCCAGAAGAGCATGGTGGCAGGCCAGTGGAGGGACTTGATGGACTACATGCTGCAGGGCATAGGGGAACGGCGGGAGGAGAGAGGCCTGGGGCACCTTCACGAGGGGCACGTGCACATGTCTGTGGTGGACCTTTTCATCGGTGGCACGGAGACCACATCGCTCACCCTGTCCTGGACTGTGCTGTTCTTGCTTCACCACCCTGAGGTATGTGCTGGGGGCAGACAGAAGGCTCCTTCCTGGCAGCCCTAGCTGGGCTACAGGCACCCTGACGCCGGGTGTTGGCCCCAGAGGCATCGCCCAGGTGGTACCAAGGCTGCCACAGTGTGCTCCGAGGAGTGGCCAGAGGCTGGGAGCGTGGGCCCGCGAGTGGCAGGGCACAGGCCCAGACACCAGGTTTGTCCCCACTGCCCAGATTCAGCAGCGACTGCAGGAAGAGGTGGATGGAGAGCTGGGCCCCAGCGCCTCGGGCTCCGGCATCCCTTACAAGGACCGCGCACGGCTGCCCTTACTCAATGCCACCATTGCAGAGGTGCTGCGCCTGCGGCCTGTGGTGCCCCTGGCCTTGCCACACTGCGCTACGCGGTCCAGCAGGTGACTCCAGAGAGGAAGGGATGAGTGGGGCTGAAAGGGGGGTCTTGGCGGGTGTCTAACTCCACCCTTCCCTTAGTATCCTCGGCTATGACATCCCCAAGGGCACGGTCATCATCCCCAACCTCCAAGGTGCCCACCTGGACGCGTCTGTCTGGGAGCAGCCGCATGAGTTCCGGCCAGGTAAGTGACGGGACCAGGTGCAGGGGAAACTGCGGCTATGAACCGGGCAGAGCCCCAGATCTGTACGCCCGCCCCACAGATCGCTTTCTGGACCCTGACGCGAGCCCCAACTCGCTGGCCTTTGGCTGTGGGCCTCGCGTGTGCCTGGGGGAGTCGCTGGCACGCTTGGAGCTCTTTGTGGTTCTGGTGAAACTGCTCCAGGCCTTCACGCTGCTGCCAGCCGAGGGCACCCTGCCCTCCCTGCAGCCCCAGCCCCACTGCTGCACCAACCTCAAGATGGAGCCTTTCCAGGTGCGGCTGCAGCCCAGGGTGCGGGGGCCCCAGGCCTAGGTGAGCCAGTAACAGGGCAGGACACACGCCTTCCTCAGTTTCTCCTTTTATTGCTCCCACACGACCCCTCCCTCCCCCCTGTAAACATAGTGCTGTGAGATCGTGGAGAAGGCTCCAGGGCTGGCTGGGGAAGGCGGCCCCTGGCTCTTCTCCAGGCGCGACCCCTCAGTGCATGGCAATCATACAGGGGTGCGCGGGAGCAGTGAGCAGCGCTCAGCCTCCCTGGGCTGGGGGCTGGTAGTTTCTTGGTCTCAACTTCATTTCCGTGAAGGGCACAGAGAACTCAAAGCCTTTCCAGTAGTACCAGCTCACTCCCTGGGGAAGGACATGGAGAGACCCAGAGTCAGACATGCCATCTGCTCCCACCCACCCCTGCCCCCTTCCTAGCCCTCGACTGCAGAGGACAGAGGCTTAGCCCGGAGTGGGCCCTTTCCAGCCAATAAACCATCTCCGCCTCATCATAGCTCGTGAGACTGTGTCCCATTTCACAGACAAGACCCGCAGGCACCAGGGCCCAGGACCTGCCCCTTCACACTGCAAACTGCCCCCGCTCTGTGCTGCTTGCTGGGCCCTCACCTGATGGTCCACTGTGCTCCCGTAGAGTCCGTTGAGGTTGGCATAGTGGCAGTTCTTGTACCACCAGGCCCCGCGGTAGGAGACAGCACAGGAGATGAGCAAGTTATTGGGGTCTCGGTCACGGGCGGAAAAGACACTGCCGCTGTGGTAGCTCATGGAGTCCCCTGGGTGGGGAGTGGACAGAGCATGAGGCCCCCAGCCCCTGCCAGGTCCCCAGACCCTGCCAGGCCCCCCAGCCCCACCAGGCCCTGCCAGGCTCCTCAGCCCCGCCAGGCCCCCACAAGCTCCCTCAGGACCCCCGGCCTCGGCCCCGCCAGGCCCCC